CCCATACTCCTAATTTATCCTTCTCCTCTTCAGTGATTTTCCTTGAGACTTTACCTTGAGCTTTGTCGATGTCGAATTTCTTAAATGGGTAAAGAATACAAGCAAAAAAATAAAATGGAAAGAAAATTATGAAAAGGGGATAATAGAATAATCTAAGGAATTAAAAGTTGTTTAGAAAAAAATCATAGCTTATATCAAGCATCTTACTCCAACTCCTGCTCATGGGACAGTGAAAACATTCTGCTTTAATAAATTTGTGTTTGTATTGGAAATGTTTCACTGTTGATAAGTTTTGTCACGTCTGAGGCTTCAACTTGTCTTACAGTTCAAAGAGCATTAAGCTACTTCTTTGAGGGAAACCTCTCATTGTCTAAATATTCTTGCGGTAGAATACTTGAAGAAATGACCATCTGGGGTATATGAGTAATTTTCTGCTCTCTGGAAGAAGACGTCTTAATTGTTTTCCTCTCTTGGCTTTTGGGATGTGGGCTCACAGTTGGCTTCAGCCTGCTGGGGCCTACCACACTGAAGCCAAACTTCCAGAAGCATTTCATCTGTCTGAGATAGTCTACCTGGAGGTCTTCTTAAAAGGTCGCAGAATTGGAAGAAGTTGAGATTAGAAGCTGGGGCTCTGGACAGTTTCTCAGCTGAAGCAAGTTACAAGCAGGACTTAGAAATGAGTCCTTGGGACAAAGAGACACTCAGGACTCTTAAAAACCCTTGGTCATTGTGGGTTCATCACCAGTCATGGGTTCTGGCTGGCAGAAGTCCCACTGAGACGGAATGAATTACTCGAGACTCTGTGGAAAAAGTCAGGAGAGCGAGAGGGAGTCAGGAGCCAACTCCACGAACCTCTCAAATGCTCCCACATTTATTGTGTACAATCAAAGAAGAAATCACTAACAGTTGTGTGATGGAATGCAGGAATTTAGGGAAAGACAGGGTGGGATCGAGATTGTAGAGTCTGGCTCAAGGTCAGAAGACCCTTTATGTTTTGGTAAGTCATGTTCGTGTTGGCACCAGCGAGCCTTACAGCTTTTCAGGGCGGAACATATGAGAAGCAGCTGCTTGACAACATTTTTCGTGGACTCAGGCGGCTGTGCCTGTCTTAGGTTGCCCTCCTCAGGGGATCTTACCTGTAATTGGCTAACCAGCCTTCTCACCTCTGAGTTTGAAGCTTTTTATAACTTGTTTGCCATTCCGGCCCAAGACTCATTCCTTTGGTCCCACTGTCCTTCCTTTGGTCCCACAGTCGGGGGCCTACAGTTTACCTTTAGGGAAGTCGTGGGAAGAAGGGAGCAAGATACATCCTTATAGATACGTTAAAGCAGACCACCAGACCAGCCAGTTCCTTGCTTTGGGGATAGAAGACTATCTAACAGCAGGCACGCCCAGCATTTATAGCCGAGGGCTTGAGTCATTGCTTTGCAACAGCAGAGTGCTATCCAAAACCTCAACTATGCAAGCAAGGCAGTTACTAAGCACATTTGCTCTTCTTTAAGGATACAAGCGGCTGGGGTCTGTTACAATTTGTTAACCCAATCTTGGGCTCCCGCAGGTCATCAGCTTTCTCCCCACAAACTGCCTCCCAGGCCCACAGCTTGCCTCCCTGGCTCTTCTCTAATTTTTGTTTCATGGACAACTTGTGGTGATTTTTAAAGTTTAGGCCCTCATCTTCCTGATTTACTAAGGCTCTCAAGGCCACAGATTTTCCTCTCTCATGCCGGCGCCTCTTTGCTGCTACTTCTGCAAGGACTCCCCCAAGCCACAAGGGCCTCATGCATGTTCTGCGCCACACAAGGGAAGAGAAGAGGGAATCTCCTTAGGAGATCTGCCTTCTGATCCCCAGGGTGAGGCCGAGGCATGTTCTGTCCTGATTTCACTGCACTGTACATCATGATCTCTGAAGAGTGCTTTTTAACTTTTAACTACAGAGTGCTAGGTGAAGGTCGTTAGAAAGACTTATTTTTGGATTATAGAGTGGCATGTCAGCCTGAGCACATTTCCAGGACAGCCAGGCACAAAGACAGAGAAATTGTTGTTTCACAAAAGCCAATCAATGTTAAGTGCACAAAGTGATGAAAGACATAATAAGTAATGGAATTGGACTTGAGAATAAACCCTGGGAGTTTAGTCCAGGAAGGCAGTGGGCGGAGCCTTAACAGAGCAATGGAGAGAAATTTAAAGTGTCACACCTCACAAGGTGTTCTATAGCCAAATAAGTAGATCCACAATTTCCCACGGAGGATAAGAGACCCTCACAATTGTAAAAAAGAGAATTAACACGATAGCTGAGATTCTGGAGTCATGGCCTTATATCCCTGATCCTCAGACACTTATTTAAAACTCTATTTCCTTCCTTTGTGCCAAGGTGGTTTTTAAAAACCTGTTCCGCACAGCGTCCTCAGGGAGGTCGAGAGGGTGGATATGAAGATTCCTAACAAGAAATCTGACAGTCTTGCCCTTACCTGCTGCTTTCTGGTTCCAGGCTAGGCAGTGCCTTTCCCTTTAAGTCTTTAAATGTATGTTTCTTTGCTCTGAGTCATTCCCAGGAGAGACAACACAGGCTTTGCACCTTTCCTTGCACACTTAACTCTTCAGTTTTACAATGAGTTGCTTCTTTTCTAAAGCCTGTGGGAGTTTCCTAGCAAGGGAATGCTCCAGATAAAGGCAGGGTCCGATCCCACTGGGGTGAGGGGCACGTCCATGCTGCAAGTTACTACCTACCCCTCACCTTTGCATACTTCCTGCACTAACTGGCTTATGGTCATGGTCCATACACATGCCTTTCTGATAATTTTTTGATCCTACTGTGAGCCTTTGGGCCTGTGTACTGTTCATGAGGAAATCTACAGGGTATGGGTATGTGAATTTTCTGTGTGTTGCAATCCCCTGATATCTCAAGTGTACATATTTCTGGTGGCACCTTGTCCATGAGAGCAGTGAGGGGAGAAGTCAGAGGGGCCGAGAAGGGCACAGCTGGAAGAGACCAGAAGAGATCATGTGGTGTCATGTCTTTCTTTCTGACCCAAGATAACTGAAGCCAAGACATTAAGTGAATCTTCACAAGGCGACACAGGCACTGATTAGCAGTGAGAGCTAGACTCTCCCTTCTGCCAAGCGAAAACCCCACATGTAAACAGGCGCTTTCTCACATGTCTTTGTTCCACGTAGTAACTGCAACAGGATGGACACAACGTGACATTAGGGAAATATTAATGTTTTCGTGTTTGTCTTTCAGTTTTCAGTTTTATTAGGTAGAATTGTTGTAATTTGACTGTACATACACAATGTATTGCATATAAATAGAGAAGTATTAATATTTATTTAGGCCGAACTTTAATTTTTCCACTTTTAGTACCAGCCTCTGAATTTTCAGTTTTCTTATTTCTCACCAGACTTATTTTCTGGCCGTTTGAAAACACCAACATGGAGTATTATGGCAACCAGACTATGCCTGGGAGAATTTCAGACATTTCGTTGTGTTTTGCCATTACTATACAGTCATGCCCTTGGTGCTCTGGCTTCTAAGCAGACATGCCAAGTGTGGGGAGGCTAGGAGTGAGTATGCATTTGTAGGGAGAAGGAAAAGGCAAGAGGTTGAGTTGTGGCAGCTGTTTGTCCTTCTTTTCTGAAATTTTTTACTACAACTTACAAGTGGATCATTGCCAAAGTCTGTTTGGTTATTTTCGTATCAGATTATTCCAACATGATGAGGAAGCCTTTCTTGTCATGAGATTATTTTAATTTTCTGTTATTTGCATACAATAAAATCATGTAAAATTTTCCAGTTTAAATGATATGCCGAAATCGATTGCCAAGGAAAAGCTAGAATTCCCTACTGTAAAGCATAGCCATCTTGCCAGTGGGTGTGGGGACACTCGAGCTTGATGGCCGAGTCCTTAGTTTGACTCATTAATTACTTTGCTCCTCATCCTTTCCAGGACCTCTCTGGGGACCCCAGGTCCCCAGAGCAGAGGCAGAACAGGAAGCAGAGCAGCTGAAGGCCCAGGTGACACGCCTTCAGGCTGAAAAGGCAGATCTGCTGGGCATCGTGTCTGAATTACAGCTCAAGCTGAGCTCAGGTGGCCCTTCTGAAGACTCCTTTGTTGAAATCGGAATGGCTGTGAGTGGGGTGGTTTTGCTTTTTTCCTTTTAATTGCACTATACTCAGTTTACCGTGTTGTGTCAGTCTCTGGTGCCCGGCACAGGTTTTCAGTCACACGTGAATATACATATACTCGTTCGCATATTCTTTTTCACCGTGAGCTACTACAAGATCTTGACTCTGTTTCCCTGTGCTGTACGGTATAAACTTGTCTATCTATTCTATACCTCCCTGTCGAACTCCCAGTCTGTCCCTTCCCACCCCCTCCCCCTGGTGGTTTTGGTTTTGTTTTAAGCAAGTTACAAACCTCACCTGGACAATTCAGGATATCGCTATTTCCTTTTGACACAAGGAAGCAAATAGTGGGGACATTTCAGTAGAGGGAACATAGATGTATAACAGAATGCTTGTGGTTATCAGAGCTGAAATGGAAAATACTGATTACCTTTTATGACCAAAGAGATAATCCTTTTTCCCCCTAATTTGTCCTGACAAATTTATGTGACTGACCTAAAAAGAAAAAAGAAAAGAAAAGAAAAGAAAAAAGGCATAAACTTTTTCAGCCTAGGTCTTAAAGCTGTGTTTAGCATTTCACTTAGGTAAGCAGAATTGTGATCAGATACAGTAAAATCAAGTGGCTTTAAAACACATTCATAATAGAATCCTCTTTTCAAATAAAGTCTTAGGAGGAACCTTGGTGTATTAAAAAGTAAGAAGTGGAGAAAAAGATCAGAGCTGGTTGTAGCCCAAAGAAATGCCCTGGCTTCTCCTTCCCGTCTGAGAGCAGCTGCCGGGCAACCTCCGAGAACAGAGTCAGACGCTGGTGCTACTAAATTGGCATTTACGTGCGACCCCAAATGAAGTGAGCTGGGCGAGGTGGCACGTGCCCGCCCATTCCTGATGTGAAGCAGCTGTCAGGGGCAGGTGGCTGGTGTCTGGGTGGTCCGGCTAAAGAGCAGAGCAGGCAGATGAAGCCCAGAGAGAGCTCTCCTTCTTTGCTACTAAAAAAAAAATTGAATACAGAGTGAGGGAGACGAGCACAGGAGGATAAAATCCCCCCCAGTACACACAGTCATTCCAGCTTTGTCAGAGTACACGTCTGCTACAGGAAGAGAGATTGTGTCTTTGAAAGAGAAAACTGGACCGTGGAGATAAGTGGGGCTGGAGCTGGGGTGAGGAGCGCCATGCACAAAGCTGAACTACGGATGTGTCTGAAATATTAGTGTGTGCCCTTCTTTACTTCCTCCTTCATTCGCTGCACTAAAGAAAACAGATTTAGAAAATGGCTCTTAATGACCTTACCACCCGTGCCCCTCATCAATTTGTAAATTTTAAGTTAATAGTGACTGAAGTCAAGAGAAGTAAAATGGTAATCGGAAAGTACACCATGTCAGAGTACTCCTTCTGCAAATGACCAAAGATTATGAAAACACAACATTGATCAGAGAGCTTTAATCTTCTGCAAATAACTGATAAAATTCAGGAAGCCCAAGGAGCTTATCAGAAGTTCCAAATGAGGCTTCTTTCTTTAGGGTGTGTGGTTAGCATAACATTCTCCCTCAGTGATGAGCGATACTTATTTTTAGACTCAGCTTGTTTTTCTTGCCCTGCTTCTGTGAATAGGAAAACACTCCCCAAGATTTAGGAACAGTGTGCACACACAAAATTATCTAGAAACATCTTTGTGTATTTTTGGAAGATCTTTTCACTAGCCCATTGGAATATAAGATGTCTTTCAAATCGTTTAAGTGGTTTGAGTCTTACTGTTCCCTAAGTGGCCCAAGATGCTTACGAATTTCTAATAGGAGCCGCCTTTGTGCTTTATGAGCCTTGCCCACAGAAAACAGCCCTTTTTTTCAGTGTTGCTTCAGCAAGTCTAGCACTTCGCAGTTTAAAGGACTGTATGGGCAAGGTGTGTGGAATTGTCACTAGCTCTGTGTGACCTTAACTTGGAGAAGGGAACTGCCAAGGAGAGAGAGAAGGAGATAAGCTTTCCTGTGTATGGGTCAGGGTGACTGTGATGAAGGAGAGACCAACCTCTCGTCTCGCCTGGATATTTATAATCCTGATGGGCGGGCAGGTTGAGGGAAGGGGAAATTTCCATTCCATTTGAGTGACCAAATTTAAACATCTCACGTTTCAATGTTTGATAGGTTCCTTGGGTTGTGAGTCATCAAAATTCTTGATCTTTCATCTTTTTGATAAAGAATTTATCTTGCAGACATACTGTGTTAAATCCCTTTCATGTCTCCTTTTATAGGAGGGAGAAGCAGATGTGGCAACAAAAGAAATCAAGACAACTCCTAGGCCCACAAGAACTGACTCCACTGACACGTATGTGAAGAAGCACTAGAGCCGTCAGAAGACACGCTGGGCAGTCTTGTCATTCTCCCAGCTCGCCACTGGGAGGCCAAACGTGGTGGGCTGAAAAAGCCACTTACTAGCTTATACCAGGACCTTTCAAGAATGTTCGGCTTGAATGCTATTTAATGTTGCAGCCAAAACTGGTGGAGAATGAAGACAATGTTTGGTGCCTTTGTAGGCTAACCCCTCACCACGCTATTTAGAGGTGTTCATCTCCATCAGATGGGAAGTGGAAACAAACTTGTTCTCAGTTAAAAGACCCATGTGTCCTATTTGTTTACCAGTGCAGTCTGACCAGGCTGCCCAGCTGATAGGGTTAGATTTCCATTTTCTCTTCCCTGTTCATTTCCAAGTACAAGCCAAGGTGACTAATACTGGGTAATCTTCCGTAACAGTGACCGTTGTTGCTCTGGGTGTCAGTGGCTGTTTTTTGCAAGTGTCCAGATATCTGAGCTGGGCACTCAAGTAGACTTGTCCCAAGTAGATATTTGGAAGCAGACATCTTTCATGGTGGGGGTACCTGGAGAGGGCAGGGGACTGGGCACCTGAGACTCTTGCAAATAGCTCTGACCCAGAATGCTCGTCCTCTGTGAGCAGATTACTACTGTATAAATCTACTTAAAAGAGATACTCATCTGAAAACTTCCCTAAGGATCTCTTCCCTCATTGGCTTTTAATATTTTTTTCTATAACTTGATGAATGTACTTATAAAACATAAAAATGAGTTTGTTTGTTTGTTTTTTTCAATTATGCTCCCAAGCCCTTGTATAAGGGAGAAAATAAAGATTAGATAATATTCTTTCATCCATCAGGGCAGTTGGCAGAAATGAAAGTTATTTCCTTTTTCAGTTAGAAATTCCTCAACACCCCCCCCCCACCATTGCTTTTTGTAATATATCAAAACACTTTCCTGGAAGTGGTGGGAAGGAAGAAAGCCCTATTTGAAATTTCCAAGCCACTTCCTCTTCATTTATAGCCATGTAGAGACCACTTCCTCTTTTAAACCACACAGCTGTTTTTTAGTAACAGCTGCTTTGCCCTGTTGGAAAGTAGTTTAAGGAGTCAGAGATTGATTTAATCCTGGCTCTCTGTTAGATGTGTGAATTTGAGTAGATTACTGAAAGAGTGGCTGCCATTAGCATCAGCATAGTCGCCCAGAATGTTGAGTGACTGCAGTGGTGGTCGTGGTTTTCTTTGTCATTGAGCCACCTCTTGATTTAATCTGATTTTGAAATCAAGAAAAATACTTGATGTACCAACAGTGCCTACATTTCTCTGCTCTCATTATTTGAAACCAAAACCAAAGATGATTTTCTTCTCCTTACCTGAGACCGTGGTGGCTTCTGTCAACTTAGAGAAAGGCTGGTGATGTGAATGTCACCACAGGCAGCACAAGTGTGTGTGCCCTTTGTGTGACTGTGGTCCTCTTGGGGTGAGTCCTCTAGGAAAGCTGAGCACCAAAAACCAGGGCTACCCTCTGCTCCACAGTGTCCGTGGGTCCTGTGATCTGGTGCTGTGCGCACAGTGACCATTTGGAAGACGTGAGCACGTGCAGTGTAAGGCGAGCCTGCCTGTCAGTCCCCACTCCTTCCTTGGAAAGCAAGGAAGAGTGTGGCACTGGACATCACCGGGCCATCTGTGCTCGGTCTGTAAATGAGAATTAACTGGAGACTGTTCAGGAAAGCAGTTCCTTGAAATTGGTTCATTATATTCTTAGACTCTGAAATTTTTGTTTTCTCATGGAAACCTTTTAACCTTCATGCTGTCTTGATGTAGGAGCAGATCTGCAGAAGGCACCAGGAATTATTTGGAATTTGAGGAATTAACTGTGAGCCAGCTCCTGCTTGGTCTAAGGGAAGGAAACCAGAAGGTGGAGAGACTTGAAATTGCACTCAAGGAAGCCAAAGAAAGGTATGAAATAAGCAATCTGAAATTTACATACACTGCTTTTATTTAAACAGTTTTATCGAGATATTGAGATGTATTAAGATACCATACAATTCATCCATTTAAAGTGTACATTCCAATTTTTTAAAGAATATTCAGAGTTATGTAGCCTTTTCCACATTATAATTTTAGAATGTTTTTCCCCCACATAAGAAATCCATATCCATTACCACTCGTTCCCCATTCTTCATAGCAATCTACTTTCTGTCTCATAGACTTACCTTTTCTGCACACTTCATATAAATGGACTCATACAGTATGTGGTCCTTTGTGATTGGCTCATTTTATTTACCATCATGCTTTCAAAGTTCATCCATGGTATCAGCTCTTCATTCCTTTCTGTTGCCAAATAATACTCCATTGTGTGCCCAGACAACACTTAGTTGATCTGTTTATCATTTGATGAACAGTTGGGTTGGTTCCACTTTTTGCCTATTATGAATAATGTCTGCCCTAAACATTCATGCACAATTTTTTGTGTGGAAATGTTTTTCAGATTTGCTGGGTGTGTACCTAGGAGTTGAACTACTAGGTCACATGGTAACTCTCTTTAAGATTTTGAGTAATTACCAACTGTTTTCCACAGTGGCTGCACCACTTTACATTCCCACCAGCGGTGTATGAGGGTTCTACTTTCTCCACATCCTTACCAACACTTGTCTTATCTTTTTGATTATGGCCATCCTGGTGGATGTGAAGTGGCATCTCACTGTGATTTCAACTTTATCTCTTCAGTGACTAATAATGTTGAGCACCTTTTCATATTGGCCATTTGTATATCTTCTTCTTTGCCCATTAAAAAAAAACTGGATTGTCTTTTACTTTGAATTATAAGAGCTCATTAATAGTCTGGAGACAAGTCCTTCGTGAGGCATATGATTTGCAGATATTTTCTCCCACTGTGTGGATTATCTTTTCACTTCCTTGTTGGTATCATTTGTAGCACAAAATTTTTTTATTTTGATCTAGTCCAGTTTATCTGTTTGTTTGGTTTTTTGCCACTTGTGCTTTTGGTGTCGTATCTAAGAAACCATTACCTAACCCACGGTCACAAAGATTCACCCCTGTGTTTTCTCCTAAGAGTTTTATAGTTTTAGCTCTTACATGTATTTAACTCTGTGATCCATTTTGAGTTCATTTTTGTTCATAGTGTGAGGTAAGGGTCCATCTTCATTCTTTTGTATGTAGATATCTAGTTGTCCCAACATGATTTGTTGAAAAGATAATTCTTTCCCTCACTAAACTGTCTTGGCACCCATGGTGTAACTCAGTTGACCATAAATGTAAAGGTTAGTTCCTAAATGCTCAGTGTTGTTCAGTTGATTTATATGTCTCTCCTTATGCCAATGCTGCACTGTCTTGATTTAGTTTTATAGTAAATTTTGGCATTGGGAAACCTGAATCCTCCAATTGTGTTCTTTTAAAAGATTGTTTTGGCTATTCTGGATCCCTTGTTGTTCTATATCAATCTTAGGATAAGTTTGTTAATTTTTGGAAAAACATCAGTGGGGAATTTGTTAGGAATTGCGCTGAATCTGGAGATTGATTTGGGGAGCATTGCCATCTTAAGAATAGTAAGTCTTCTGATCCATGAACGTGGGTGTCTTCCCATTTACTTAGGTCATCTTTAATTTCTTTCAGTGATGTGTTTTAGTTTTCAGCATACATGTTTTGGGGAAACTGGCCTCACAGAAATGTAGTATACACACAAACGCTTCGGGGTAAAGTTTATCTTCCTTGTAGAGCTGTGAAGTCAGTGAATTTCTACATGTGAATGAACTTTTTAGTAGTGCTAAGTGCTAACCATATAAAACATGGGGGAGGTTATGCAGGAGTTTTAAGGTTCCAGTGACTGCGACATTTAATCGCAACTATGCGACGTTAAATAACAAATATATGAAATTATACAAACAAATAATATTAAATAATAAATATGCAGCATTTAATCATAAATATGTGTATATAATATATAAATATCTTATGCCTGAGAATTCTCTCAGACATTATAAATGGCTCATTAATTTTAAAATTATAGTGTTACAAGAAGCACTTTCGAACTGAAGCAGTTGAAAATTTTAACTATAAGATCTGTTCTTGTATTGTTGGTTTTTTTAATGAGGGGTAGGTAGTTAGGTTTCTTCATTGATTTCTGCTTGGAGGAGGTACTGGGGATTGAACCCAGGTCCTCTTGTGCACTAGGCATGTGCTCTACCACTTGAGCTATACCCTTCCCCTAGATCTGTTTTTAAAATATGAAATATAAGTTACTTATTCAGGGCGAGGTTAAGCTGGAAGACACTGGCATTTGTTCAGTGACTTATTTGATAGTCACCTCTTTTCAAAGGTTGAAAAAGGTATAATGGCTATAAATCCTGTTTTTATCCCACATAAAATTTACCCCGCTGTCCCTTAGAAAGATTCAGAGAGGAGACCAGTATCATGTATTCTAATAGGGTAAAAGATCTGCCCTGCCTTTCTGACAAATCTTAAAACAAGTAATAATGCTCAGATAAATAGATAAATAAAAGCATTCCTTTTACACCTTAATTATTACAGCTGATTTCTAAAGGGAGGATGTTATGCTTTGAAAAAGACCTTTAATAGTAAGAGTAATCAGTGTGTTTCTGTTTCATTGGCACGTTGACCCTCCTGAGTTCTGCACACCATCCTAAGTCAAGTTTAGCCAGTAATTCATCCTTCCTCAGTGATTAGCTTTGATAATAAAAATGTAAAGTCATGAGTTTGCTGATGACATATCCTGATCTTTCATATGATCTAGTATATAATTTCTGCTTTCAAAATGATACGTCTCTCTATCTGGATGTGTAGCTTTTCAGATTGCAGCTAGGAAGTCAGGCCTGCCTTTGAGATGAGTGTTTCACTCTCTAACTTTGAGCTTCCTGTAAAGGGTCCCTTTCTCAATAGCATTAAATTTCCACTTTGTGAGCCAGCCTTCTTGCAGTATTTAACTCCTGGCAAGTCAGTGATCTGTTGCCACGATGAATGTTCTCTATGTGAGTATTAAGGACAACCTCCTGGCTAAGGTTGGGCTGAAACCAGGAAATAAAATCACTGATGCCTGGACAGCCTGGCTTGATTTACTATGTGAGATATGGTGAAAACACATTCCAAGACCTAGCATGCCTTTTTCTCAAATAATAAATCAGTCTTCAACCATTTTCATTACTCATAAGAAACAGAGGTATAGACAGTCTAAAACTGACTGAAAAATTTTAGGTGGTTTGTGGGGAAAGGGGACAGTAGACTTGTCTTTCTTTCCTTGTTTCATATAAATTGTGTCTTCTGAACAAACTTAAACTGATAGCCAAGAAGGAGAGAGAAATTATGTAAGAAGTGTGACCCAGGAAAATCAAGAAGTAGCAGGGGAAAAGTCAGTTCAAGATGAAAATGTGCCCTAGAAAATTAAGTAGAAATTCAAATATAGATCAGAAGCCTGTGTCATATGTGAGTGGTATGATCCTTCAACCTTGCACCAGCCAGCTCTTAACCCATTTATTTGCTTAGCCAGAAACAGTGCCTGTGCACCAATTAGGTTTGGCAATTTGCAACAGGTACCAATGCTGTTTGTTTTATGTTTTATTATTATCAAGTTCTTTTTTAAAAATCAGTTTTGCATTCATGTAAAGAAGCAGTTGTTTCACAAGCTTTTTACGGAAAGAACCAGCAGCCCCATCCGCCGCCAGCTTCTTCCTGCTTCTCACCACTTTCAACATATTTAGCTGGTTCTTTTGATATTTACTTCCATATATCAAGATTAAATTGCTACTTAATTTTTTTTTCCTATTTCAGACATAATCTATTGACCACCACCCCCCCATTATAAAGATTTAACTGTCTGTCACTGCCACCATTGTCACCACACACACTTCTGGACCCTTCTTTCACCCCACCCCCAACTCCAAATTTGATAATACTGAAATTTAGTTAGATCACTACTCAGCGTTTACTATTATGCACACATGCACACACATGTGCCCAGTTCTCTGTTGAGCTGTGCTTTATGCCTTGACCACTTTTCCTTTTTTACACAATGTTTTCTTTAACCTCTATGCAAAATCACCGTTTAAAAATTTACTTAGTTTCCCCATACTCTTCCCCAGTGAGGAAATCTCTCAATTACATGCAAACATGTTAGTCTAGTAGTGTTCTCTTCTTGAAGCCTTTTCTTCTGGAGTCCAGCCTCATTGCTGTCTAGGTCTTGCTGTATTGCAGTCATCTTGGAATCTCCCCTTGTCACTGTCCTGCAGAATTCCTTCAGCTCTACTCTGTTGATTGCCTATTTCCTGAATCCAGTGCCTTTCTTACTCTCTAAATATCTCTACTAACTTACTAATAAAGATTATACGGAGAGGATATTTTCTGAGATCTGCATATCCAAAAATCTCTCTTTCTACCTTTATACTTAACAGATAGTTCGGCTAGATTTGGAATTCTACATTGGATATAATTTTCCCTCCAGATTTTAAAAGCATTACTTCATTGGATTCTGACTTCTGCTGTTAATGCTGAGAAATTCATTGCCATTCTGACTCTTAATCTTTTGGCATAAAACTTTTGTTTTTCCTTTTCCCGAAAGATTCTTTGCTCCATCCCAGGTTTTCTGAAATTTCACATTTTAATTTCACATATGCTTTGGTGTGAGCCTGTTTTCCTTCACGTGATCTAGACACTCTTGGCTTCTTTCATTCTGCAAACTCATGTCCTTCAGTTCCTGAAAAATGATCTGGAATTAATTGAGGGATAGTCTCTTACACTCAGTTTTCTCTGTTCCCTCATTCTAGCACTACTGTTATTTTGAATTGGACCTCCTGGGCCAGTCCTCAGATTTTCTTAACTCAGTAGTCATTCCTCTTCTCTGTCGCTGTCTCTCTCACATTTTCACTCTTTCTCTTTCTCTGCTTTCTGGTACATTTGATCAACTTTCATTTTCTTTTTTGGGGGTGGTGGCAGTTCCTTTGAAAGCTCCTATTCCATTTTATTATGGTAGTAATATGTTTCTGTCTCCAAGGATATTGATAGTTTTTTGAAGTTTATTTCCCTTGGCATATTCTGATTTCAGTAAGTTTTTTTTTTTTCTGGGTTACTTTTATCTTCATTTTAAGGTTTTCCTGAAATGTCTGGTAATCTTGCCTGTTTGACCAGAGTTAACAGTTGGGGTGCTACATGGGCTACATGCTGACTGAAGCGCTGTGTGCACGTGTAGGGAGATCTGACCGGGAGCTTTCCCTGGGGAAGCCGCATGTCAAAAACTTTAAATCCTTTCCTTATTCTGATCAGATTCCCCAGAGGAGACTCCTCCTGTCTCCTGTCTGAAGGGTACTGTTCTAGATGCCAGCCTTGAGATGAGTAGGAAAAGAAGGCTGAGGGTCTCAGTACCCTGTGTGTGAGGTCCCCTCTTTTCAGTAGGGAACACAAGTCCTCAACTCTGATCAGTGTCTCTGAGTTCAGGGATCCTTTAGTTTATGATCTTCTAGTCCTTCTTAAACAGGTCCCAACTTTATCCCTACGTCCAGAGGTGCCTGGTGCCACTGATTCCTGAGCCTTTGGGGTCCCACAGTGTGAGCTGGGTTCCATCCTGGCTCTCCCGACTGTTGGCTGAGATCCGGCCTTGGAGGGCCACCAAGCCAGTTCCCACTCACACCTGTGCTTCCCAAATCTTCTTGCTATTATTCTCTCTCCCCTTCTCTCTGTTCTTGTCGGTATATAGCTTTTTAAAGTCATTTTAGTGGTGTTCAGGGTGGGAGAAAAATTACATGCATATATTTAATTTAATCGACCATCTTAAATCACAAACCTCTTTTTGTTTCATTTGTATTGGGTTAGCTTTCATATGTGATTCAGTGTTAAGGATGTTGCTATATTTGTTTGTTTTCAGGAACTTGTAAACGTAGATGGGTCCAGAAAAACAAGTTTTCCCCTTTCTGCTGAATCCTTGTAAAGGGGACACCCACTCTCATGTAGCACACGTGCAGTGTTCAAGATAAATTATCTCTCTTATACCTCTGTCTGCATTCATCCCTTAATCAGTTTTAGCCAACTTCAGGTTGAAAGCAAAACCAAAGCTAATACAGTGAATGGGAGAAATTTTTGAAAATGTTGATCCTTTATCCAGATTTTTGAACTTTTTTTTTAAGTGCGTTTGCAATTGTTATTCTGGAAACCAAAGAGAGAGTAACTCTTCTATATTCTGTAATTTTTCAGAATTTCAGACTTTGAAAAGAAAGTTAAGGATCGTTCTGAGATTGAGACCCAGACAGAGGGTCACACAGAACAAGAGAAAGAAGAGGAGAAAGGCACAGAAACTGTGGGTACTAAGAGTCTAAGACTGTTTTCACAACCCTGAGGGACAGAGGACTGGTACAGGAGCTGGAGCCAAGTCTTGTGATGTGTTATTGGCTTTAGAAATACAGAAATAATTTCAATGTTGAATATTTTCTGTTTCTCTTATATTTCCTTGTCCTAATCTGAATTTCATTCATTGTAAATTGTAGTGAGTGTATTCCTAGTGATTCTAGGAAATAACTCCTCTATCTCTTCTTGACTGATTTTTCTTTCCCAAATTCCTAAATGAACAGACTCACTAATTGAGAAAGGAATTTTGTCCCTTTTATCATTTGAGGATGTGACCCAGAAACTTAAGGTGGAATTGAAAGCTCTTGGTTCTTTTCCACTACTGATCTGAATGAAATAGCTTGAGTGAAAAAGGGTCATGTTTATATACATGTCTGTTCTGAGACAACTCAGAGAAGTGCCTGGCAGCCTGCAAACACAGCCTTAACTCTTGGAGAAAGCTGATGAGAGCAGGAAGTTGTAAGACCCACTGTATCCAACACATAAGGCATTTACATAAAATGCTCACTTTAGCTGATTTATTTATTCAACAAATATATATCAAATGCCTACAGTGTGCCATGCTCTGGGTTGATCCCCTACTTTCAAGAGAATTTAAAAAACTGAGCTGAAGAGGCCACCTATGAGTAACAGTCCCTGTTGATTAAAGCTAATCAGAGGTAATAAAGACATACTGAGATTTCCATGGCACCACAAAACTCACTGGCAGAAACTCTAGAGCTGCCAGGGAAAAGGCAGTACAGAAACAGTCACTGAGTAAACTGGAAACTTAAATCAGCCAGGGAACATGGCGTGAGCTGCTGGCTGGATAAATTAGATTGTGCTTTGACATCACTGTGATCTGTGATCCCCTGAACCATGATCAGGACTGAATTCATTTTGATTATGATAAAGTCGTTATCACAAGTGCATCCAAATTGATCAGTTAATGCTCTATAAGGAAACAGAGTTGTATCCAAAGCATTTCTTTTCATACAAGATATTTGGGGCATTAGTTCTCAAAAGTTTAATCAATTCACCCATCAGTCTTAATTGCACACCAGCGGTTCACACTGTTCTCACAAAGAGGTTCATTCAACCTCTGATAAATGCATGTTTGGGATTTCCTGGATGACAGGTTGGAAGTGAGGTGGAAACGCTGAGCCTTCAGGTGACAACCCTATTTAAAGAGCTTCAGGAAGCTCACATGAAACTCAGTGAAGCTGAGCTGATGAAGAAGAGACTTCAAGAAAAGTAAGAAAGAGTGATAAATTTTATCCTCCTTCGAAAAGTGTACATTTTTACAAAATATGTTAATATACAAAAACATAGTTTTTTTACTGTGTTACTGAGTAAATTAAGAAAAAGAGACCTACTTAAACTATGAATTCAGAAAACATTAATGTTCAGGTTAATATATAAACATGAATTTCTTGTGGTAATATAGGAGAGTGGGCCCAGGGGACTCTGATTTTGCTGTTTTGGGGGCACTTGCTAAGCATATAGGAGGAGCTGTAAAAAGCAGTGAGCCAGGCTTCCTGTGATTTACCTGAGCTGACAACACTGATGTGAATGAACATAAAAGAAAGCTACAAAGAACACAAACTTGAGTGGGATTTATCTAGGAAAAAGTGTTTCCATTTTCAGTCAATTATGAAGGCTAATATATACATTGGGAAAATTTTGCATTTGCTTGTTTCTCTTGATGTAAGAAGTTACCCCAAATTTAGGAAGGCCAAGTCGATGCTGTTGTTTCGGATGAGTCAGCAAACATACTTCAGACACAGCAGACAAGTGTGTGTTTCTGTGGAGGTCCACTTACCAGGGAGTCACAGGATTGTGGACCTGGTTCAGCACAGCAGCAGATGCTGAGGACTGTGGATAAACACACCTGTGTCAAAATACAGATCTACCACTTATCTGTGGTGTTACCTTGTGCAAGCTATTTATTTAACCTCTCTGGGCCTCCCAGTTTTATCATTTGTAAACTGTGTGTCATAATTCCAACTTTGTAATGTATTAAGTGAGCTAATGTTTAATATGCTTTGTGTTAGTGCCTTGCAGTTGGCTACTGTTGGCTCATATTTGCTATTATTATACTGAAATTCTGTCTCTGATCTGTAGGAGGACTTAAAGCACTTCCTTCTCCCCTCTTGAATCTTTGTCAGAAGTCCTATTTTTGGTGTTTAACAGAGCCCATAACTTTTAAAGACATTAAAGAAAGCCATGGATCACTATATATAGGAAGCACTTCTAGCCAATTACTACCTTGGTCTGTGTCTAAATAACAAAAATATATTTGCATGACTAGTTAAAGCAGTTACTCCAAGTGGGCAGTAGCTTGTGTGATCTTAGATCTGGACCTGCTTATGTGAGGCATAAGGGTTCAGAAATACGTAAATTTCTTTTACAAAAAAAATCTGTATTTTTTTATATGCAGGCATCAGGGTTCAGAAATGCTTACTTGCTTCTAGTAAAGAAGCAGGGAGGATAAAACATTTAATTTTTTACTGTTCAATTTGTGAAAAGTAGAATCCTCAAGTTCTTTGTATTTGCAGCATAATCTTGGAATTTGTTTGAAAGCCATTGAGAAATGAAGGAGCATTGTTTGTCCTCATGAAATTTTGATCTTTCTTAGATGTCAGGCCCTCGAAAGGAAAAATTCTGCAACCCCGTCAGAGCTGAATGAAAAGCAAGAGCTCGTTTATAATAACAAAAAGTTAGAGCTCCAAGTGGAAAGCATGCGATCAGAAATCAAAATGGAGCAAGCCAAGACAGAAGATGAAAAGTGAGTACGCAGTGCCTGAACGGCTGCTTGCTCAAAGAAGACAGAATAGCTCCTTTATGCAGATTGGAATCAGGATTTGAGAGTAAAGTAAATTTTTTTTCTCTTTTATCTATTTGAAAGGAGTACTTAGGAGACTTTTCTGAGGAGATAAAATTTAGGTCTTCTTATAAGAATTATGAAACCTGTGTGTAATCTACCTTGATGGGGGAACTGTTTCCTTTGAGAGTAAGAACGTGCCAGTAGGTGGTAGGATGACGAAGGTGGGAGAGATTTCTCTACTTGCGGGTTCAGAAGCAGGTTGGGAGGCAAGACTAAGTTTCTACGATATTTTCCCCAAGGTTCCACTTTTTAATTTCTTTTTATATAGGGTCAAATTAGCAACTCTACAGTTGACACACAACAGGCTACTTCAAGAATATAATAACGCACTGAAGACAATTGAGGAACTAAAAAGGAGAGAGGTACTTGTAAAAAAAATTACTTTCATAGCCTAGTCGTGAACAGAACTATTGAACATTTTATGTAAATACGTAAAGTATTTGTGTTCATCCTCAGCTGTCTGATTTCAAGGGTTGTTTATCCATTTATAATTGATTTCTTGTGTCTAAGTGTTTATAACTCCTGATGGTCCACATATGTATAATGTGCTTTGTGTAGAAAGATGATGCTAATGTCCTGCGGTCAGGGAGTAGGCGTTCAGCATTTCTAACAGCAGGTGGGACTGTAGGAGAGCTGAGCGTGGACCCCTCTGTGAGTAATGCGTAGTGAGCTGCTGGCTGGTGCTGGAGGGGCCTGTCTGCTGCCTGGGGCCATCACACGGCTGGCTTGCCAGCTGTCACTGAACTTGAGACCCTGGACTTACCAGGCTGTTGCTTAAATTAGTAATAATGCCCAGCATGGTGTGATAATTTAAACACCATGGATGGATATGTGAGGTCACAGATGTGTTAATTCACCCAATGGTGGCAATCCTTTCACAGTGCATACAGAAATCATCATGTTGTACACTTTAAATATTTTACAGTTTTGTCAGTTTTACTTCACTAAAGCTGGACTAGATAAAGGCCACAGAAGCTTTGAATTAGAAGGGGTCTCTGGGTTTATATTCTTAGAAATATACTTCTTGTTTTTCATTTATTTTTAGTAGAATATTGTTCCTCTCTAGGACCTAGCAAATTTTTAATTTAAACATTCCACTGACTTCATAAAGTAAGAGTAATGTGAGTGGAAGAAGAGAAGTGTCAGCAAATTACAACCTCACTGCGATCAGGGTCTGTCATTTATCTCTCTTATTTTAATGTTTTCCTTTTTTTTTTAATCATTGTTTTAAATTAGGAAATTACTATTTGCAAGCCATAAGTTAAATGAATGCAAGTTTCTGATTAAGTTATCATTGCTGATTAACAGACCAGTTTAGAGCCAATCATTTAAAATAATCCTTTACCTAATATTTTACTAAAATAGGTCAAATTATTTCAAAACCACTTCTAGCATAAGCTTGTCTTTTTCAGTCAGAAAAAGTGGATAAGGTGGTGCTGCAGGAACTAAATGGAAAGCTGGAACTGGCAGAGAAGGCCCTGGCTTCCAAGCAGCTCCAGATGGACGAGATGAAGCAGACCATCGCCAAACAGGAGAAGGACCTGGAAACCATGGCTGTTCTCAGGGCTCAGGTAGGCGGCATTCCTGGGCATGAGTGAGGGAGGCCAACTCTGATTATATGCTCAAACAGGAAGGTGATAGTGTTTAAAATATTTTTTTTAATTTATATTTTTTCCATCAGCTTTTTTTTTTAAACCTTCTTTCTGAAGTATATCACATGAAGAAGGTGCCCCAGACCTGTAGGTGTATTACTCACTGAATGTATCCATTCTGCGGGTGATGGACAGCTGGATTGCTTCCAGCTTGGGGCACTGTGATTACTGTTGCTCTGACAGTCTTTTGCACGTCTCCCTGTTGACCTGTGCATTCATTTCTGTTGGGTTCACACGAGGAGTGGAACTGCTTGTTCACAGAGTACACAGTTTACTCAATTTTAACAGATGATGCCAAAGAGGTTTCCAAAGTGGTTGTACCCTTTTTCACGCCCATCAGCAAGTAGCTCCTGCTGCTCTACATCCTAACGCGTGTGTATTATCAGTCTTTTTACTTTTACTTTTAACCATTTCTGGTGGGTTTATAATGGTGTCTCATTTAATTTGCATTTCCCGCATGACTAATGAAATTGTTTTCCAAATGTTTATTGGCCTTTGAAGTATCTCCTTTTGTGAAGGTTTGCCCAACTTTCTTCTGGTTTGCTGGCTTTTTCTTGATTTTATGGTTCTTTATATATTCCAGCTACGAGCCCTGGCCAGTTATTCTTTTTGCAGATTTCGTCACTCTATGATTTGCCTTTCCACTCTCATGAAGGTGTCTTTTTATGAAGAGAAATTCTTAATTTTAATGTAGTCCAATTTATTAGTCTTTTAATTTATGAATAGTCCTTTCTGTGTCCTGTTTTTAAAACTTTCCCTACCTCAAGGCCATAAGCGTATTCTCTTAGGTGGTCTTCTCAAAGGTTTATGGGTTTGCCTTTTACATTAAGACCAACAAACCATCTGGAATTAGCTTTTCTCTATGGAGTGAGGTAAGGGTAAAGATTAATATTTTTTCTATATGAATATCCTATTCATTAGGAACCATTTATTTAAAAGGCCATCTTTTCTTAAGAACTCTGCTGCCCTCTGTCACATACGGTGTCCGTGTACCCATGGGTCTATTTCTGCGCTCCACACTGTTCTGTTAGGCTATTTGTGTATCATTCTGGTACCATACTGTCTTATAGAGAATCCACGGTTTTGATATCTGGTAGGGTAGGTCTTCCTACCTCATTGATATTCTTCATGAGGGCCTTAGATTTTCCTTCCTTTTTTCCTTTTCTTATAAATTTCAGAATCTGCTTGATATTTTCCACACAGAAAAAATACCTACTGGGATTTTGATTAGAATTATATTAAATATATATAAATCAATTCAGAGATAACTGGCATCTTTACCAGTTTAGCATTGACTCTCCCCTTTCATTGACATGACATATCTTCTTTCATTCTTCTCAGTAATATTTTCAATCTTCTTAGTAAAGATTTTGTTCATCTTTTATTAGATTATTCCTAGATATCTTTTATTTTTATGATACTATTATGAATAGCATCTTTTTAAAAACTTCATTTTCTAATGGTTGCTGAATATAGAAATACAATTGATTTTTAGATACTGACTTTGTATGCAGTAAACTTGTTTAACTCACATTTTAATTCTAATAATTTTTCTGAATATTCTTTTGGACTTGGTGCATTAATAATCATACCATTTGAATAATGACTGTTTTATTTTTTTTTACCTTTCCAGTTCATTCTGTTTTTTTCTTTCCTTTTCTTGCCTTACTGCACTGGCTGGGACCCCAGTCCAGTGCTGTGCAGCAGTGGAGACAGCAAGCCACCTGGTCTTGCTCCCAGGCCCAGAGGTGTGATGTTTGCTAATGGCTTTTTATGGATATCACTTAACAGATTAGGGAAATTCCCTTCTCTCCCTTATTTGCCAAAAATATTTATTTTGAGTGGATGTTGAATTTTATTTAGGGGATTTTTTTTCTTCATATAATGACATAATTAGATAATTATATGCCTATTTCCTTAAACTTGGTAAATTGCACTGATTTTTAAGATTATTAAACTTTGCATTTCTTGAATTATCCTCATATACATTGTTGGATTTGGTTTACTCATATTTTGCTTAGGATTTTTGCATTTATATTCTTGAGTAAGATTAGTCTAGAATTTTCCTTTTGCTCATGACCTTGTTGGCTTTTTAGTCCAGGGTTTTACTAGCCTCATAAAAACAAGTTCGGGCACATTTCTTTTTTTACTGTTCTCTGGAAGAGTTTGTGTACAGTTGGCTGGTTGTGACCATTTTGGCCCACTCTTGATACTGGGATACTGGTGGGCGGAATCCCTGGAGGAGCATTTATTGGTGAAACTGCATCCTGCCTGAGATCTAAAATCACCAGAAAGAGGGCGGAGGAAATCTTTTTGTTTGTTTCTGTTTGTTTGCTTAATTAAAACTGGGATCATGCTGTATCTTTTGTACTACTTTTTCACTCCTGATATATCTTGGTTATCTCTCCACGTTATTACTCATAGCCATATGTACTTTTTTTTTAAACAGTCATACAGTGTTCCAATGTGTGCACTAGCTGATAGATTTAACCAGTCCTCTATTAATGGACATGTAGGTTGTACCAATATTTTTACTGTTGTCAACAGTGCTGAACTAAACATTCTTGGATGCATGTCTTTGTGTACTTGTATAATCTCTAGTAAGATACAGAAATGGAATGGTCTGGCCATTGAGTATGCCTGTTTTAAGTAAGTATCACCAAGTTGTCATCCAACAATGCATAATCAAAACTATTCTCTCACCGAAAGCAAATGAGAGCTCCTACTTCCCCACGTCCTTGCATCAATCTTTTAAAGTTTGCAATCTCATAAAGATAAAAAGACTATTTTTAATACAACAATGCCCAAAGTTTATTATTCCCTGTATACGTACCCATTACAAACTCCGCAGAGTGGCAGGCTCGATGAAATATGGAGGTGGGTGACTGGACTTACAGCTCTAGTTTTATTTCTACAGGAACTGAATTTCAACCTGAGCTGTTTAAGGCATTTCCTTTGTTTGGGCATGTAGTCACGTACTTTTTGCCACATTCTGTACAGAGTCATCTGTTTTGTTTTGGTCGATACACTTGTCCATTCATTCAGCACCTCTTTTTTGAGCACCTATAATCTGTCAGACACTGTTCTCACTGCAGGGGATATAGGAATGGACAAAACAAAGACCCAGTTCTTACTGGCTCACAGCTAACAAGGGATAGAAGTGAGATTCTAGCTTAAGTTTAGGTCTGACTTAAAAAAGCCCATGATATCTATCAACGATACCATAAAATGTTGATCCGCTCATAAATGGCAGGAAGTCCTTTAAAATTATCTCTTTACTTCATGCCTTTTTTGTAACTACAAGTGTGATTAGAGTATTTAAATTTTTATTAATTTTACTTTTTAAAGTAATGGATTAAAGTTTGTACCCTAGAACCACTAAATTTGAAAAGAAAACCCTAATTTTAAATATACAAAGTTAAAAACTGGTTAATTATTAAATTTGAAACTTTAAACTAAATTTTAAGTTTTTAAATAATGCCCAAATGACTATTAAGGTGTTCATTGTTACTTTATAATTTTATAACAGTGAAGAAATTGCTATCATGGCATAATATTCATTCGTTCATTCATTCATTCATTCATAACAAATTATTCTCCAAATGTAGCAGCTAAAACAAGCATTTGTTTTCACACAGTTGCTATGGGTCAGGAATCCAGGAGCAGCTTAGCAGGGTGACCCTGGCTCAGAGTCTCTCATGAGGCTGCACGCAAGATGGACTGCAAGATCCATTTCCAAGATGCCTCACACACATGGCTGTGGGCGGGAGGCCTCAGTTCCTGACCACGTGTTCCCCTCCATTAGTGCTGCTTGAACAGCCTCATGACATGACAGCTGGCTTCCCCTAGAGCAAGTGACCCAGGAGAGAACAAGGCAGAAGCCAGAGTCTTTTATGATCTGGTCTTAGGAACTGCACATCATCACTTCTGTAATATCCTAGTGGGTACATGGGTTGGCCCATTCATTGTGGGAGGGGACCACATGAGGGTATGATTACCAAGAGGAAAGGGTCACCGGAGCCATCTTGGAGGCTGGCTGCCACTGCAGGAAGCCAGCATGGTTTATGGAAGAGTCCATGATGTATGGGCTTCAGTCTGGGTTCAAATGCTGGTTTAAGCACTTAACTAATTTCCTCAAGATTAAGGGCTATTAAACTTATAAATGTAAAATGAACAGAGCAATTCTACATTCCCAGGATTTTTGATAAAGAGAAACAAAATGGTCAGTATAGGCACCCAACATAGGACCCCACACATGTTTGGAATTCAACAAATAGCATCTATTTATTGTTATTTTAAAGTTGGCTTAAGACCAGCCTTCATAAATAGACCTGACAGGGTAAATATAAACCACTTACTATATGAAGCCAATGCTGAATGTTATTTTTTAAAAAGAGATCAGAGAATTTTATTGAATTAATGATACATACAGTATTTTAACTGCCTGTATCAGTGTAATTGCTGAGCCCTAACTGTTTAAATGCATACACATACATAACTTGTGTCTTCTGTTTGAAGGCAGTTAGAAAGTCATGGTCATTATACACTGATTCCTGGCAGGAACACGTATCTGTTGTTGACAAGGCATATCACAGGATCAGCACTGCCACTTCACCTCCTCAACAAGTGAGCTGCAGAGAATCCACATTCCTCTGGGTAGTAACGTTTGGCTCTTTTCCCTCTAACAGATGGAGGTTTATTGTTCTGACTTTCATGCTGAAAGAGCAGCGAGAGAGAAGATTCATGAAGAAAAGGAGCAACTGGCATTGCAGCTGGCAGTTTTGCTGAAAGAGAATGATGCTTTTGAAGACGGAGGCAGGTAAAGATGAGGGGAAGGCTTAGAGCTTTTACCAGCACAGGCTGTGAGAGCGGTGACCCAGTGTTTCCTAATCTGAGCTACAAGAATTGCTGAGTGCACGTCACCTGATGGTGTTCCTAACACTTAGTTTGCCTTACAAGGCTTGGCAGCATCTTGTGGGAACCTGATTGAGTTCTTTCCTTTTAGATAAATTGTAAAAACCTAACATTATGTGTTCTGAAGTCATATCCCACCATTGTCATGGATAGAATATTCCTAAGAGTTTAAATAATTCTGTAATATGTTTTAAAGAAAATACTGCTAAAGTTACTTTGCCTTTAAAATTTTCATTTTGAGAAAAATTTGAGAAACGGAGGAATAGAAATAGAAAAATACAGAGAATAAAATAACACACACCAGTCTGCACCCATCCAGAATTGGCAGTTACTAACATTTCTTTTATTTGCTTCAAGTGTATTTTTATTAAAAGAAAAAAGGGAGTTGGAGATGAAGTTGTCGTCTCCTTTCTCTGCCCCTCATCATAGTCCTCTCTTCTCTTCCACACCCTGCCTGGCAGCATCCCTGTCTGTTCTGTGTTTTTGCACATATACATGTGTAACATTATTTTTTTTTTACTTTTTTAGAGATAATATTAACTTTTTTAAAACAAAGTGCATAGGTTACAAAGTGATCGCTCTAGGTATCCTGCAACTTGCCTTCCATAACTGATTTTGAACCGTGTATATATATGTATACATACAGATTTAATTCATTGTGTTTAATTGCTCTGTTTTGTGTTTAGAAATATGCCACTTTTTTCTAATCTATTCCCCTGTCAATTGACATTCTGTTCACTTACTGGATTTTAAAAATTTTACTTATCTACTTTTACTGCACCGTGTCCCAGTGCCAGTAGTATTTAAAGTTCAAATTACTCTTAAGTTTTGGTTTTTATGACACTTGGCTTTGTACTTTAGCCCTTTTTTTCTCATGCTTCTCTTGAATGTCTGCTTAATGCTGTCACATTTCAAGGTTTCACATACAGTGTTGCTTTTAATCCCAGTAGGCAGTCCTTGATGGAAATGCAGAACCGTCATGGGGCCAGAGCAAGTGATGCTGACCAGCAGGCTTACCTCGTTCAAAGAGGTGAGTCATGTGTGATTCTATGCTGTCAGGGTTCCAGGGAATATCTATCCTCTCAAGAAGACATTTAAAGAAAAATTTCACTACACTCTATACAATGGATTCTAAATCAAGCTACCAAAAATAGAGCAGTTATCAGTCTTATTTCCACTGAACCCCAAACTCCATCCATTCCCTACTGAATCCAGACCAGACTCTTCACACTGGCAGTTCAAGGCCTGGCATAGACAATCTTATGATCTTCTCTGTTCCCCTCTAGGTGTTAGCCAAGGGAATCGTTCCTTCCTTGTTCCTTGAACTTGCCCTAAGCTTATATACTTGCCTACACTTGCTCATGTGGTATCCTTCACATAGATGCCCTACCCTCATTCATATCTTTCTCTTCCTACAGTCTCTTTCCAGTAAACTCTTATCCTATCTTTAAAATCCATTTCAAATACCATCCCCATGACTCCAACAGAATGTGACTCCCCCTCCTGAAATTCCAAACTATATTATTCCTGCTTTTGTACTTACCTGCAGTTTTATAATTATTTATGTGTTCTAAATATGCACTTAAATATTCCATTAAATAAGCTTCCTTGGAGTTTATATCCTTACCCACCACCTAGTGTTATGCACATAGTAATGTTACCATTTATTGAGAATTTACTATGCACAGGTGCTGTGTAGATCACTTCAGACACATTATTTTATAGGATCCTCATAGAATTCCACGAGGCATATATTATCACCATCTTCCAGAAGCCAAGTTAAATAACCCAGGAACTCAAGGCTAGTTAGTGGGTAGAACTGGATTCGGAACCTGAGGTTATCTGACTCTTCACCACTACGTGGCACTGTGTGTAATGGACTGTTACTTAATTATGTACTACATCCCTGAGTGAAACTGATCATGATACTCATGCAAGGTATGGTGCTGTGTTCATTACATGGTTTTAATACTCTAGTAATGATGTTCTTTCATTTACAGTAAATTACATCACTGAAAGGGAAGTATTATCCTTGAGTCTAGATACGGGGAAAAAAATTCAAAGGATCAAGGACTGATAGAACTAGACAAAAAGTTAATAGCAATGCTACTAAGAGAATCAGGGTTTAAGATGTCACCCAAATTTCACGTAAAACTAGTTAGCTGTTTTTTTAATGCTGGATTTATCTAAGTCCTTTCCACAAGCCAACTGACTACCGAGATGGAACTATCACAGTGTTATCAGTAGCAAGGAAGCAGTATCAGTATGTCTAGTTAGCTGTTAAATGCTATGTCTGTTAAACCCTGGGGCAATTTCTCTGAGTATCCTTTTACCTCCCGTCTACCCCAGAGCCCTCACCAAAGTTCTTTTTACAAGATAAAATAGCTTAAAGTAAATATTAGAGGTAGTAATTCAGGTTAAAAATACACATAGTATTCATGGGGCCTTTGCAGAAGTAGCATGTGGACTGACATAAATACTGGCCTCAGGCATTTCCCAGCATCATCAGGCAAAGCCGTGTCCTCTGAAAGCTGTATCTGCCCACTTGAGCACTGCCAGGCCTTTTCTCTAACCTGAATTTAAATATCTGAGGAACACCCATATCCCTCATATATAAAGTGCCTCCAAGCTTGTCTTGGTTCAAAAAGGACCATCTCTTTAACCTAGATTTCATAGGGGAAGAGTTTCCTTCCTCATAACTATATAAGGCAAATACCTATTTACACTAAAAAACAAAACAGAACAGCAAAGAACTGGTCACACACTCTTAACTTATATTTATAATCTAAAAATGGCCACGAAGTGTGAAAGTATTCATAATTATTCCTAATAGACTTTTTTTCTTATGCAAAACAATTAAGATTAAGATTAAGATTAAGATTTTGTCTGTTTGTTTCCTAACAAAGCTGCCTTGCGGGGGAGGGTGTAGCTCAAGTGGCAGAGTGCATGCTTGGCGTGCATGAGGCCTTGCGTTCAACCCCTACACCTCCTCTAAGAATAGGCCTAATTACCTCCCCCCATGAAAAAAGTGATAATAATTTAAAAAATAATAATAACAAAGCTGCCTTAATAGCCCCTCTCGATATACTTCATCATGGCCGATGAAATATCTGCAGCCATCTAAGTGTCTCCTGTGGTCTGGGGCACTTGGCCAAGCACAAGGAAGTGAATGGGCATAAGGCACCGTCAGGCCTGTGAAGGCCTGTGGTCTAGTTAGAGACAGGATGCGCATGTGAGATAAAAGAAAAGGATGACCCCTGAGGGCCAGGGGGGTTGAGAAAGGCCTTGAAAAGAAGTGACTTTAAGCTTGACCTTAAAGCCAGGATTTAGGTAAGTACAGTATGAGAATAAAAGGGCAAAGGCAGAAATGAGTGTGATGTGTTGATAATGAAAACTGACTAAGCTTATTTAAGAGCCAGGAGGTGGAGGGAACCCATTAGCTGGCTGATGTAACGGCCCAAGTCTGCATCGTGAAACCTAGACCAGGACAAAAAGAAAGGCACAGATAGACATGATAAAGTTTAAAGGGAAGAATTAACAGCCCCTGATTTGTGGGTGGTTGTCACCTGGGGCAGGGTTTGGCAAGCTGCAGCCCACAGGCCAAATCTGATATAAAGGTCTATTACAACATAGTCATGCCCTCTTGCTGACATACTGTCTGGCTACTTTCATGCTACAGTGGCAGAGTTGAGTAGTTGTGACAGAAATTTATGACCTGTAAAGCTAAAATATTTACTCTCTGGCCCTTTACAGGAATAGTTCCCTGACCCCTAATCTAAAACAGTTAGAAAGCTCGCTGCTTCAGAAATCATGCCTTGTGAGCAGTATTTCTATTCAAGGGTAATTCCAAAGTTTGCTGGACACCAACAATCCATAATGGTCTCATGTTATTCGATTTAAATAATATGCTCCACAATTAAACCATGTTAAATAACCAAACAAATTAATAAACCATAGCAAATAACCATGTTAAAACTTAACCTCCACTATCATCCTCCAGAAACAGAATTTTGAGGGGGCTGAATAAATGTCTAGAGACCTAGGCAGACATGCTTAAAAACCAAAATGGCGCACATTGGTGCAGAAAGGTCAGATCAAAGAGATGTTCTGGGAACCAGAAATCATTTCCAGCACTGATCATTTGCACACTTAGGACCTGCCAAGAATCACGGCTTCTTTTGAGGATTCTTTAATTTAGACTTGAACCTCAGTCCAACTCCAACTTCAATTCTTTCTCCCCACTTAACTTTGCCTGGATAACTCTTAATCATTCTTAAGACTCCTCTCAAGTGGAACTGGTCTCATCCAGAGCAATCTGAGCCAGGCACCTTTCTCTGCCCTCCACGAAACCACCTTGTGCACGACATGGCCACAGCGCTGCCCTCCCACTGCTGTCACTTTTCTTGCCTGATGTCCCCACTGTGTCTGTATCCCTCTCTCCCACCTCCCAGGTGCTCAAACATATCTGCTGAATGACCGTAATTGTCTCTGCTGCTGAGAAGGTACTACTGTTTCAGGATCCCCCTCCATGGGATTGTCTCCTCGACTTTCTCTTTTTGTCCTTAGCTTAACATCCTCATCTCTCTCTTTTTTTTTCTCTCAAATATTCTAATTTTTACTAGAACATATCTTGTACCTAGAACTGAAACCATATATTTTCACTTACTTAGAACCTGGAATAGAGCCTAAATCTTAATATGATATGGACGCAGGTACTATTTTTGGAGATTTTTTTCTCTGTGTGTAGATTACTTCAGTTAAAGAACAAAAACAAACAAAAAACCAACCCTGTATTCACTTCCCATGGGCATTGATTACAGAGTTTAACTGATGTTAAAATTAACCATCTGTTACTAAACTCAAACCAAACTGCTTGCAACATGAAAGGAATGGAGTAACATTTCGTTTAATGCTTATTCCCAGAAGCCGAGGATAGAAACTGGCTGCAAGAGCAACAGCGGAATATTCCAATTCATTCTTGCCCCAAGTGTGGAGAAGTTCTGCCCGACATAGATACACTACTGATTCATGTTACGGACTGCATCATTTAAGTGTTGACGTTGCACCTCCCCCAAACTGTTGGTAAATGTCAGATTTTTTTCCTCCAAGAGTTGTACTTGTGTGTTATTTGTTTCACTCAAATATTTTGGCTCATTATTTTAGGAGAAAGGAAAGTGTTGTGTTCTAAATAGGGCAATTTTTTGTGTGTGGATTTCCATAAAATCACAAAATAGAATCCTTAACATACCACTCTTCTGACAATAGGTTCTTTTTCTTCTTTTAATTCAGTTTACACGAGCACTGAACTGTTCATGCAGGTAGTGAGTGTGTGACATCATGGACACAGTAAGAGTGGCAATAAGATGGATGAAGCCTAGCTGATTAAGAACGTTCTAAGGAGGTAGGGAAAATGATGCAGTCACAGATTTAATCAAGAAAAGTGTCTTTGAAGTTTTTTTTTATAATAAATTATACTGTTATTTTCCTTTATCCATTTAAGACAGGTCTGTATATGTATATATCTTACAGTTTTATTTCAGCCACAGCACCAAAGTTATGATGTGGCTCTTTTCATATGAGCCCTGTGAGTGTTTACTTGATCATCAGGACACATGAAAAACATATGAGCCTACACGAAGCAGATACATTAAGTTCACTGGATTTCCTGTAACTATTGACAGTATAAAGCTCTCTTTTTCTTTCGTTGTGCTGCAGGCATATGTCTGTCTGCTATTCAGTTACCTACTGAATAGTTTAATACTGAATAGTCTGTTAACTTCTAAAAAGAACAGCTATCTATTAATTTTCTTCCTGGATCAGGCTCTATATTCGTAATCACAAAAATAGTTGTTTCAAAATAAAATTTTGCTTATGACTCTTTCACATTGTTCATATATGACTGGCTAATTTCATAGGATGTATGTTTTTCTGTATTCAGCTTCATATAAGCTTAATATTTTTTCAGAACTATCTTGTTAATTCCACAAATATGAGCAAATCCCTTTACTAGAAACTAGTAAGTGTTGTTTGAATTAGAAACTGTTCTTTCTAAGGAGGAGAAAAGATAGGGATTTGCCATATTTTGTAAACATACAGTTTAACCAGATTAGCTAATATTGGACTAGCCGTGAAAGTTATTAATGTCCTTATGTATCTATATCAAAAAACATTTAACAGAAAAATGTTAAAGCTTCTCTGTTTGGCTTTGTTGTAAGACTTATCTCCTAGACAAACTTGACTTGTGTGTGTATGTATATGTATATTTTAAAACAGGAATCAAAATAGTTCATTATAGCTTTATGTCAAGAGAACACATTGCACAAATTCAACAGCAATTTAGATTCCACCACCTCACCCCATGGAGAACGTTTGTTAAAGACATTTCTAAAATAAGTATGAAATTTTACTTCTAATTTCTTATTTAGAGTTTCTAGTTTAAAATTTTTTCCTTACTATTTTATATTGGAGAAGACAGATTTCTAAAGTATCTTAAATTGAAAAGCAAATCAAATGGTTCCATATTTAAGTTATTGAGAATATCCTTTTACTTTGTTCAGGTAAAAATATTAAGCTGATCCCAATGTGAAATAACAGTGTGAATATGCTTATTAAGCCTGTGATCAAACTGTTTACTTGGTAATTAGAAGGACTGCAGATGAAGGCAAGTTCATATGGTCAGTTTAAATTAAGGCTATTGTTTTAGGAGAATCAAATGGTTTGGTAAACAACTTGTGAAGTCTGTACATGTCTTATCCAGTTAATTCAGTCTTCAAAGGACTCATTCCATGTTACCAGTTAACTACACCTCATCAGAATTTTGGCCCCTCTTCTGGGGCCAGCCATGCTGTATTCTTTTTTTTTTTTTAATGTTTATTGAAGTATAGTCAGTTTACAGTGTTGTATCAATTTCTGCTGTACAGCATAGTAATTCAGTCATACATATACATACATGTATTTGTTTTCATATCCTTGTATGGCTAAATGGGAGCAACAGAAAGATGGGAACTCTGAAGAAATACGAATGAACAAGGGAAAATTTCACAGCTAATAATTTTACAAAATTAGGTCTTCGAATATTATATTTAAAAATAATTTTGATCTGGTCTGGCATGTTAAGGAACATGGAAGTCATCACTCCTATCCTTGTAACAAGAAAAATGGCTGAACAGACTTAACATCATCAACTCTTTAAATATCCTTCAGAGAATTGAGGTCACAGGGAAAACTTCTACCCCCAAATTGGAGAGACAGGTAGATAAAGAGAGTCACAGATTACCAGCTTAGGGCCTTAGGAGCAGAAACCACAGCCAGAGCCGAGTACCTGAGTAGGAAAACTTAAACTATAACTGAAGAGTTGCTAAAGGCTCAGTGTGGATGACCTTGAGACTTAACTCCAGGGGGAGACTAGTCTTACAGGGACCCCTGCACTTGTGACTTTTACCTCCAGGAGCCCTCCCAGATTCTTACACTGAAGATTAGCAAAAATTCCCACATAATCCCAGCAGGGGGAGGGGAAAAGTAGACATTTTGAAATACACCAGAGCATTCTGTTCCTCTTAAGAAGGTCTGCCCTCAAGAGAAACTATTTTGCCAGAGCCTAACTTGCTGGGATATTATCAGAGCCTAACCAAACTGGGGGGGAAAATACCCAACTTTGGCCCCCTCTAGCCTTACTCTTATCACCTAAGTTTCAGAAAAGGGTAACATACGTGTAATGAGAATGCCAGAGGAAAAGGAGGAGAGAAGGGGCCAGAGGAATGTCTGAAGTAATAATGGCTGAGAATTTTCAAAAATTGACAGACACCAAACCACAGATCCAGGAAGCTCAGAGAACACTAAGCAGGATAAATGTCAAAAAAAAAAAAATCTTCACCTAAGTATGTCATGTGAAAACTGCAGAAAATCAAAGACAAGAAAAATTTGAAGGAAGCCAGAAGGGGAAAAAACCTTACCTGTAGGGGAGCAAGGATAAGAAATTTATCAGACCTCTCTTCAGAAACCACACAAGTAAGAAGAAAGCTGAGAGAGAAAAACCACCAACCTACATTCTGTGTCTATGGATACTATCCTTCAAAGTGCAGGAGAAGTAGACTTTATTAGACAAACAAAAATTGATGGAATTTGTTGCCAGTAAACCTGCTTTGCAAAAAAATGTTAGAAGTTCTTCAGAGAAAAGGAAAATTATATAGATCAGAAACACAGATCTGCATAAAGAAGCGAAGGGCATTAGAGAAAGAATACATGAAGATAAAAGAGTCTTTTATTTTTCTTATAATATAACTAACAGGTAACAGTTTGTTCAGAGTAACAATAGCCACAAGTATTTGGTGATTCTAGCTAATGGATAAATGAAATAATTGAGAACAATGTTATAAGGTATGGGTGGGAAGAATTGGGAATACTCTGTTACAAGGCATTTTCACTACCTGTGGGAAGAGGAAAACCCTTCAGAGGAGAGATCTGGATAATGCAATAGAAGCTGTGGATGAATTTGCTTTTCTGGAAGGGACTTTGGATTGATTGCTGAGCTGGGCAGTTTTGTGAGCCTGCACCTGCATCCTTCAGCTAGGACCTCTGCAGGCTTCTGCTTTGAAGAACAGTCTTTGGAATCCTGTACTTATACCCTTTTCCTGTCCTACCTTCAACCTAAGCCTGGATATGCAGAGATTCACCTGTTACCTTTTCTCTACAAGGTCTTCCACTGCTGTGTCTTCCATTTTTGGCCTGGATTACAGCTGCTGCTACTTGCAGTAGAGATACAGAAAGTGATTTGTGTAGGTGGCTTCATGAATCGTAAGGACCAAATAAAGGTATCTGACAGCTTCAGCCTAGTGTGTTTTATAATCTTGCCTTGTTCTTGCCCCCATGATTGGAGAGACACCTCACCTAGTCACAGATCTTTCTCATCTTCCCTGCCAGCCATTGTAAACCTCTGTCTTCCATTTATTTGTTCCTTTTTTTTTTTTTAAAGCTCATCAGCAGAATGTGGTTCCAGAATTTGTGAGGTGCCACGTAAGGTCTTCAGAGGTCAAGTAAATGTGATGCTAGTTTTAAAATCAGTGAAAAAATTTTAGCAGCTTTATTGAGATGTAATTCACCGACCACACAATTTGCCCATTTAAAGTATACATTTCAGTAGTCCTTAGTATATTCACAGATGTGTACAACCTTTGCTACAGTCAATTTTAGAACATTGTTAATGGAATTACGGGTGTTATTTTGTGTCTGGCTTCTCTCACTTAATGTTCTTAAGGTTTATGTTATAGCATATATCAGTACCCATTCCTTTATTTTTTAACTTGTGGAAAATATACATAACATAAAATTTACCATTTTAACCATTAAAAAATAAAAATAAAAAACACTAGAGCACCCCTACCCTCCAAGAAGTTAAAAAAAGAGAAATATAATTGATATGCTAATAGAGGAAAGAAAATGGAATAACATAAAATGCCCAGTTAAAACCAGAAAAGCCAGAAATAGAATGAAAGACAACAGAAGAAACAAAGAACAAGAGCAGTGAATAGAAAACATTTTTTATAAAAAGGTAGGTGTTATACCAATTATATCAATAATCACTTTAAATACCATTGGTCTAAATATACCAATTAAAAGATGGAAACTCTGAGAGTGGATTAAAAAAAAAAAGACCCATGTATATGCTGCCTACAAGAAACCTACTTTAAATATAAAGACATATGTGGATTAAAGTGAAGACATGGAGAAAGAGAGTATGTTAACACTAATCAAATAAAGCTGGAGTAGCTATATTAATTTCAGACAAAGAGAACTACAAAGCAAGAAAAATTATTAGGGATAAAGGGGCACTGCAAGTGATAAAGGGGCCAATTTTCCAAGAAGACATAACAATCCCTAATGTATATGTACCTAAAAACAGAGCCTCAAAATACATCAGGCAAAAACTGACAGAACTGCAAGGAAGAATATATGAATCCACTAGTACAGTTGGAGACTTCACAATACCCTTTATCAGTATGATTAACAGACCCAATAGGCAAAAAAATTATTAAGGACATGATTAAATTGAATAGCACTGTCAATCAACTAGATCTAACTGAAATTTATAGACTATTTCATATTCCACATATGATCGAATACACAGTCTTCTCAGGCTCATGCAGAACATCTACCATGACAGACCACATTCTGAGCCATAAAACACAGCTTAAGAAATTTAAAACAACAGAAACCATACACAGTATGTTCTCACACCACAGTGGAATTAAACTAGAAATCATTAATAGAAAGATACCTGGAAACCCTCCAAACGCTTGGAGATTAAGCACACTTGTAAATAACAGGTTAAAGGAGAAGTCTAAAGAGAAATTTAAATATATTTTAAACTAAATGAAATTAGTATATAACATCAAAATTTGGGGATGAAGTGAAAGCAGTGTTTTGCAGGAAATGTTTAGCTCTGAATGCATACATAGTAAAGAAAAAGGATCTAAAACCAGTAATTAAAGCTTCTTTTAAAAAAAAACTAGAAAAAGAATGGCAATTAAACACAAAATAAGCAGAAGAAAATAAATAATAAAAATTAGAGCAGAAATCAATGAAATTTAAGCCAGGAAATCAATAGAAAAGAATCAATGAAACCAAAAACTGGTTCTTTGAAACAACTGATAAAACTGATAAACCTCTAAGCCGTGTTAACTAAGAAAACAGAAGACAAAAATTACTAATATCAGTAATGCCATGAACAACTTGGAACTTGAAATTTTAAAAACATGTGACATCTACATTAACACCAAAAAATGAAATTCTTATTATAAATCTAATAAAATATGTGTAAGAGCTGATAAAAGAAATTAAAGAACTAAATAAATGGAGAGATACTCCACGTTCCTGTACATGAAGACTCAATACTGTTAAGATGTCAGTTCTTCAGACCTGATTTACAGATTCAATGCCAATTCCAATCAAAATCTCAAGTTATTTTGCAGCTGTCAACAAACTGATCCTAAAGTTTATATGGAGAGGCAAAAGACGAGAATAGCCAACACAACACTGAATGAGAAGAACGAAGCTGGAGGACGGAAACTACCCAACTTCAAGACTTATTATAAAACTACAGTAATTAAGACAGTGTGGTACCGGTGAAAGAACAGATAAATATATGAAGAGAACAAAACAGAAAGCTCAGAAATAGACCCAGAGAGTCCACTGGGGTTTGACAAAGGAACAAAAAGCAGTTCAACAGAGAAAGGACAGTATTATCAACAAATGGTACTGGTACAACTGAACAGCCACATGCAAAAAGAAAAGAATCTAAGAGACACAGACCTTACACCTTTCACAAAAACTAACTAAAGCCACAGACTAGGAATAAATCTGCATCTGAAACATGCATCTGAAAAAGGGCTGGTATCAAAATATCCAAAGAACTCTTAAAATGAAACAATAAGAAGACATCCCACTTTTTAAAAGGGCAAAAGATAACAGATACCTCACTAAAAATGTACAGTTGGCAAATAAAGATACAAAAAGTTGCTAAACATCATATGTCATTAGGGAATTGACAATTTCAACAAGATACTATCACACATAATAGAATGGCTACAATTCAAAACAATAACACCACCAAGTGC